TATCTTTCTTTTGTAAAATATTATCTTTCTGTGACCTGTGAGAACATTCTTGACCTCCAACAATAACAAGATATCCTAAGCTGCTGTTGTGCTTTCCTGTTTCGCACATTGTTTGAAAATTAGTCTAAGAAATCGTTTCTCCTTTTGGGGGAACCCACCACGATTCCTGTTTAATCTGTGCTAAATCCCAAAGCAGGAAAGCCCAAACCTAGTCTTCTCCATGATATTAGTTGAGGCTGAGATAGAGGTCTAAACTTTTTCTTAGACCTGCTGTGAGATCTAAGATTACACAGGAATCACCACAAAGCTCTATTCTGGCAACCAAACAATTGCACTCTGAAAATGGAAACCTCAAAGCTGATTGCTTCTTCATGTTTCTTTTTATAAAATATTTTATTTATTTATTTTTTCATTTTATGTGTATGAGTATATTGCCTGCATATATGTAAGTGCACCTGTCTCATGCAGTGCCCACGGAGGTCAGAAGAGGGTGTCAGATTTCCCTAGAACTGGTGTTATGGAACATTTAGCTGCTGGGAATTGGACTCTGGTCTTCTGCAAGCATAGCTGGTGCTCTTAACTGCTGAATCATCTCTCCAGCCCCCTTCTTCATGTTTCTTTTGTCTTCATGCCTCTACCTACGTCTTAAGCTGTTAAGTAATCTCCTCATTCAGCTTTTACAGCTCTCAATATTCCTCAGATGAACTGTCTTCAAGACTTTTCTGGGATATCTTCGTGCCCACATGTTTCTTAATAAATCAACCTTCCTTTACCTTTAGAATCTTTTCAAAACATTCCTGAGTAAATCTTGGTTTATTCCTTTAATAATTTCATTAGAAAAAAAAAAGTGTTCTTTCTTCCTCACTCTAATGTCTTTTGGTTGAGTGTTAATAGCTAGTTCCTCCCAATTCCACACTGTCCTTGTTTGTAATCCACCATTCTTCCCTTGCGCATTCAAAGACTTCCTCTGAGCCTCCCATCTATCATAACACTCTTCACCATCCTCCATTTACAGTCCCCTATTTATACTCAGCCCTTTCCTCCCCTGATACATAGCTTTGGATTTTGATTCTCACTTATAACCTCTGCCTCAAATTTTGCCAGTATCCTGAAAAGTCTCATCCTGCAAAGGGGCAACACACTCAGGAGTCTATCCTCACAATTTCAGTGATGCTTGCTTTCTATTTTTCAAAGATACTCTACCTTTATACTTTACTCTTTGACCATATTAGGATCACTAGCTTTTCCCCCATAACTTTTGATATATCAGCCCCACTACTACTGTCCTTATGTCTTTTGAAACTGATCCTCATCCTTGTGGGCAATCATATGATCCATTTTATCAATGGTGCAACTAACTCTATCACCTTGTTCTGCCAGTACATCTTCACAGTGTTCTACCCATAGATTAATCACCACGGATGCTTTCTGTGTTCCCCAACATGAGTAAGGTTAATGAAGAAAAATAGTCAATTTTGTTCATTGTTTAACTTATATCTGATATTTTTTCAAAATGTAATTGAAATGTCTATAAACTGTACAATTGCAAGTAAATACAGTGTAAATACATACCGGAAGACCACTTTCAGTTTTGCTGAAATAGAGGGCTAAAGAAATATACTTTATGGTGAGCTTTCAAGAACTCACTAAACTCCTGCAACTGCCAAAAGAGCTTTCAAGAATCTGTAAAATCAGTAATTTGCCTACCAAACTGGGAAGACACAATTATAATTACTTGTTCCAAAATCATTTCATATTTGCTGTCATAGAGGGTGTGGCCCAATCAAGAAATTGCCACAAAGTACTGTACCCAGTGGAATTCAGCCTGCAAAATGGCTCCCAGTGATCCTTGCCTCTTTGTACTCATGCCCTTCTGTAGTGTCCTGCAACACTGAAAAGAGTTGACCTATATGGTCAACAGGATGCAGTTAATGTGACATAGTATGTCTTTTTATGTTCTGTTGTAAAATACTGTGTTCTGAGGGCAGGAAAGGCATGGGGTGACTCAAAACCACCTTTAATTCAAGCTCTCAGGGATTGGACTCCTCTGGCCTCAAAGGGCACCACACACATGTATACATAACCCCCCCGACACACACACACACACACACACACACACACACACACACACTTAACAATTGAACAATCAAAAAAATCTTTGAAAAAGAGAGTGTCCCTTCTACTTTGTTCTCACTGGAGTCATTTCCACCAGAAGAGGCCAATTGTCAAGCTCTGAGAAGTATAATACAACACTCTATAATGAAGTTCATGTGGGGAAGGCAAGAGGCCTCATCCAACAGTTAGTCATGAGGCATGAGGTGGCCACCCTAGAACTGAATCCTCTAGCCCCAGTCAAGTTTTCAGGTGACTGGAATCCCAGCTGAAATGGCTGCAGCTTTACCAGACACTTCAATACACAGTTGGCCTGCTAAGCATCTCCAAAATCTCTGACCCACAGAAATTGGGAGAATATAAAATATTTGTTGTTTCAAGCCATTGAGTATGGGGATAATTTAATTGTAAGAATAAATGACCAATACAGATATCAGTACCCTGGACATTGATCAATGTGCTTTGCATGACCTTACTGCTTTCCTCTCCTTCATCACCCACCTCAAATTCAACAGGTGAAGGCTTGTAAGAGGTCAGGTCTACAAGTCTGTAGGCATGACGTAGGCCCCTCCACCTCTTAGTTCACCCTTCATTAGTTTTCTAATGCAGATTAAGAAACTCCTGTTGAACAGATCTCCTATGGAAAATCAATAGACCTGAGGTGTGTGTGTGTGTGTGTGTGTGTGTGTGTGTGTGTGTGTGTGTATGATTTTGCTGGTATTTAATTTTTAAATACCACAGAGCACTCATTAATACATTTATCTTCAAATAATCTGTATTTGGGGGGAAAAGTGCCTGTAATATTGCAAAGTCATCAGAAAGACTGGTTTGAAGAAATAAGAGAAATTTCCATGGTATGAGCATGGGCTAGTTTTTCAAGTTTATCAACTTTTGGCATTTTTCTCCCATCCATAATATTTAGTGTTATCTGATCTATAAAGGAAGCAGTAGTTAAAGAGTGACTTTTAGTTTGCATGGGAACTGCATTTTTTTTCTACAAAGAGTGTAAAATCTATTCAAAGTTTACCAATTACTTTGACTAATCTTCTATAAGAATATTGCTCAAATTGCTGTCTGTTTTAAGCCTCCATATGTTGGAATTTGAACTTCCTATCATTAATTTTATTTATTATATTTGTTCAAAAATAGATTGTGGGCCAATCTGATTATCTGAAAATTCATGGAACTGTTTGCCTAGAACAGCGGCAATGTAGCACCTTGTTACAAGCCAAGGTGCAATTTTTCAGGTTCAACTACTGACAAATAAAAATATCAATACAAACCACTGATAAACTAACAAATAGGGAAAACTGTCCTCCCTACAAGGAGATTTGATACACAGTCAGTGTGTTGAAGTCTCTGCCGAGCAGTTGCAGTCAAGGTCCTCCTAAGCAATCATGGCTTTTAATATATAGATTCTAGGAATGATGTGTTCCAGGACCTCAACGGAGGTTCAACTTTCTATATAACATTTCACTGTATTTACTTGTAATCTATGTACATGCCCTTGTAAGCTTTAAATATCTCTGGATCTCTTATATTCATATAAGAGAAATGTTTTGAAAATAAATTGTTGGGAAACAATAAGAACCTATCTGTACAATTTCAGCATGGGCTCCATCTATGTTTGCCTAAATATTTGTAATCCAAGTTTGGTTAAATCCACAGAAGTGATAGGTATCACAGATAAGGAAGACCATGTATATTTGCATTCCTGTTTCTTCTGCCTTAATTTCTAAGACTTCCCTTTATCTGAGACATTGAGTGGAGTCTTCTTCAGCCATCTCTGCTGAGATAATTTTGTGGATGTGGAGGGAAGTTTGGAGCTTTTGAAGACAGTTCTCTTGACTGAATCAGTACTTTGCCACTCCTAGCCTTCAGCCTGACTCCAGGGTCTGTATAACTGCCAGAGTCTTTTGTTTGAGGATTCTTCAACACTGTGATGATCCAGATCAGCAGTGTTCTACCTGACTCTCATATCAAATCTCCAGAAGTGAATGGTTCCAGAATTACCATGGGTACCATAATCTGTAGACATTCAATTGTTTATATAAAGTAACATTATAGTTGTCTATGATATAAATATATTGTTCTGTGTGGGAAATGGAATAAAGGAAGTCAACACTTTCTCTAGTTTTAAGCTCTTGCTGCAAGAGGTTAAAGTTTAGCTCATTTTTGTCTTATTGTATTAATACGTTAGTTATTCTGCCCCCTAAGAGCTTAGCTCTGTCCCCTCTCAGTTGAACCCATAAGAAGACTAGAGTTTCCCTTTTCTTAAAAATATTTTATTTATTGTTTTTATGTGTATAAGTGTTTTGCATGTTTGATAGCCCACCTGAGTTGTGCAATGCCTGTGGAAGTCAGAAGAGGACATCAGAGTCCCTGAAACTGAAGTTATGATGGTTGTTAGCCACCTTGTAGATGCTGAGAATTGAAGCCAGGTCCTCTGGAAGAGCACCCAGTGCTCTTAACCACCAAGCCATCTCTCCAGCCCCAACACTTCCTTTTGTAAAATACCACAAAGAATCAGAGTCTTAAAACTACTGACCACACCAAGCAAGTATTCTTGGTGTTTGACAAAGTGAGTTTTGATAAATTTGCTTCAAAATATTTTATTAACAAAAGTTTTATATAAACAATAAAATAGAAGAAAAATGTGTAGCACTAAATAATGTGTTTAAAGTATGTGTATGGCTGCAGTTACTAATTTCTCTGGAAAGATAACCTGCCACAATGGTTATAAAAAA